GCAGCAGGAAGTGGTGGTACACTGGTAGATACGATGCCATATGCAAATACTACAGCTACAGTTTATCCACCATATTCATGGTCAGCAGCTGCAACAGCACCATGGTGGACAACCGAACCAACTGGAACTTGGCCTCCTTTACCGTATTCACCAACAGTTGGTACTGATACTGCTGCAGCAACTTATTCACCATATCTTGGTCCACAATTTCAAGGACTGCTATCTGCTGCCACTGTATCAGCTACGGTATCAGCTGCTGGTCAAGTAGCGTCGATATCTAATCCAATTTCTAATTCTACCGCTAATTCATTATCAAAGATCTCCAGCAATTCAACAACACATGCAGGAGGCGGCAAATTACCTACACGATCTAATTGTGAGTGTCCAAACTGTCAGGAAGCCGAAAGATTGGGTAAATCTTTTTATTTAGCTTTTTCTCTTTTTTTTTTAATAACACATTTTAATAGATAAACTTGAAATATTAATAGAAAAACAGAACAATGATTGGTGTAATGATTTCTAAATAATGAAGAAATATGGAATATATATGAAATGAGTTAATCAAACTGATACGATTGCTTAAATTATCATTATATTCGCTATAGAAATATTAGCATATCGGAAGCATTGTAGTTGCTACTATAAACAACTTTTAAATTATATAAAAGATAATCTAATCTATCTAACACAGCTATCATGCTTTTTAATTTAAATATATCAATACCAAAGCATCAGGGAAATGTATTAATTTTTATGAAGACTAGAAAACATCCATCTTTTGTCAGTAGTTGTTATTTTATGTTAAAAAGTTAAGATAGTTAAAGTAAGTGAAAGTACAGGATCACCAGGTCGGGAGCAGGAAGAAAAATTGGAATGAAAATTATCGGCAGGGAAAAGGGAACATGAATGGAAGAGAAGGAACGGTGATGAGTGTTGAAGATAATAACAAGTTATGGTATATGTTTAGCAATCACTGAAAATAGCAATTACATTCTTCGCTTGTTTATACCGAACCTGTAATTCCACAGCTTTAGGCCAATCATATTAGTTTTGATGCCAGCTTAAACGATACGATGAAACTTACTTTATTAGCTCAACAACCTATTCCTCATTTTTCTTTCACTAAATCATTTCAAGTTATCAGCACAAAGTGTAAATCAACACATCATTCCCCATCAATGCAGTAAACGATAATTAAAATACTTGTTTAATAATTTAAGTCCGTAATTTTTCTAAAATTGTTTCGAAATAAGAAGTTATATCTACAAATTTTTCTTCTGAATCAAATTTTCCGGAAATATTTTCCGGAATAAAATTTGCTTATAAAGATTTCGAAAAAAAAGCATTGATGACTGAATGATATATGATAGTTTGCAAATAAATATCTGAGTAAAAGTAAAATATCTATCACTTAATCTTCACTTTACGACAGTTTGCTGAACGGATCAATTGTAAACAATAAACAATTTGTGAATACTTTTTATGAGTTTTGTTTTTTTTAAAAACGATTCTTACAAAAATGAAATGCCGCCAAAAAAGAGAGAGGAAAAACAAATCGTTAAATTGGGACGGACATAAAGGTAGTTTAAATCATTTGTTACCTTTTTAGAAGAGAGAATAATCATTCGAGATGAGAGAAAGAAAGTAACGAATAGAATTAAACTATAACAATTAAAGGAAGAAATTAATTTTTGAATTAAAATTAAATGAATTTTAAAAAGGCTTTACTATACATAGCATTTCAATAGACTTATTCATTTCTTTTTCAATTAATTCAATTCAAAAACTATTTAATCATTTTGCAATAACTTTTATCTTAATTTTATTTGTGCACAATGCTTCTATTCTTTCCTAATTTTACAGTAACGATAAAGACAATAAGGGTCATAGTAATGGTCATCTGGACCAAGCACTTTTGAACAGAACTAGTTAGTTATAATAATGACCTTTTGATGAGCAATGTTTTGTTCACATTTCATCGTCTTATGCTGAACACAACTGTCATTTTCTTTTAAATCCTTCTCACAATCTAATCGAAAAATTGAAAATGCTAATTTGAAATTGATAAAAATGAAAAGTACAATTTACTCAATAATAGCTTATGTAATAAATAAATTTCTCTTCTCTTCTTACCTCCCTTTCATTGTCACAAGTTAAGCTAATATAATCATTTTAAAGTCGAAAAATTTATAATTTTAATTTTGTTTAAAAATAATTATCTGTTGATTTCGATTGATCAAATATTTCCTAATTAAACTTTAAACTTTTTGGAGCAATGCTTTATAAGAATTTGAAAAATTAAATTTTAGTAATTTAAATTTTTGAACAGAAGCATTGATTATTATTTTATGCACAAATTATTTATGAAATTGACAAATTTTGAAGAAACTTTTTTTCATCGAATCACTGCAAGAATGTTATGAATGAGAATAATATCCACCCATCTGATTTATTAGAATAAGCAGTTCTACCGTATTCAACCAACCAAAATGAAAACTGTCAACTTAAATAAATGTCTGTGAGAAAAGAGTGACCGCAATTTCGTCAATTACATACTTTGGCAAATGTATTACTTAGAATGAAATCACAAAAAGATTTTCAATAACTTTATTTCAATTACATAAAACTAATAAAGATAAGATTCGTTTTGCTAAAATCAATCGCTTGATATTTCATTATCAATTATCAGTTTTCAATCCGTTATCTTTGCTATAAATCATTTGTTTTTCTTTTAATGCCATTCAAATTACGATGACAACAACAACAACAATAACAATTAAAAACTAATTTCAACAATTCAAATTAATTTGAAGGACTTTTTTTTAAAAATTTCATTCAGCACAACTTCATCAATGAAATGAAATATACAGAGAGAGAGAGGGAGAGAGAGAGAGAGAGAGAGAACGTTAAAATTACCTTACCAAAAATGAAGGAGAAAAGAGAGATAGTATTGAAATGGCCCTGAAAACGGCAAATTCAAATGAGATTTTTTTGAATTGGTTAAGGGAAAATCGAAATATAATTGACACTTTTCACACTCTAATATATGATTTGTTGCCTCACATTTATTGACAGATGCTTTAAAACAACACGCGTGAAAAGATTTCTTTTTTTATTATTTTTATAGCGAATAATTAAAGGTAACATTAATTGTTTAAAGAATTTTACCTTTTAGCTTTTAAAAAAATACGAATGAAACTTTGCTATTCTCACTTCTTAATTTCACTATTTCTATTACCTTCCATTTCAAAATTCTTTTTAAGAAAGAAAATAAATTCAAATAAATTAATTAATTAATTAAAAATATAGGAATTATAATGATAATAAGCAAAAATGAATTTATTGTAAAACTTTCAATTTCATTTTATAATATTTTTTAAAAAAGAAATTACTTATAAAGATCTGTTTGTCATTTCATTCCAATTTTGCTTTTTGTGATTGAATTAAAAGCTTTTCATCGATCAGTAAACCATTAAAATTAATTTCACTATCGATAATTATTTGACATTACAAAATTTTACAATTATCCGTTTTTTGCACTTTGCTTTGACCTTCAATAAAAAGATAAACATAACAACAGCCATAGCTAAATCAGAGATGGTGTCATAAATCTTCATAATCGATTCTTCTGGGAAGGAAAGATAAGGATCAGAAAAGGATATCAATCAGAATCTCGAGCTAACTTAGGTGATTGTGTAATCGGGCGTGAGAGTCACACAGGCTCTATCCATTTCGTAGTTTTATTGATAAATAATTAAATTTTCTGACTAAATATGAAAATGTACAAAAAAATTAGAACATTTGGAATCCACTAAATTATAAAAAAAATTTATGAGAAAAGTTATTGCTCGTAGTCTTTAAATGTATCGTTTTTAATTTTGAAGATTTAAACTTAGTTGCAACTAATATCTGGCATTCAGATGAATTGTGCACAAGACTTTAAACTTCGTAATTTTACTAGGCATCGCAAATATTCCGGCAAAAATGAGGGGAATCCATAATTGTCATGTTCCGGGATGTGGTAAAGTATACAGCAAAAGCTCTCATCTGAAAGCACATCTGCGATGGCATTCTGGCGAACGACCATTCGTGAGTTTTTCTCAACATTTCAAATTTATTAAATTGGAACCACTTCACAGAACCCTAATTTTACTGATGAACCGCAAGAATCGCAAGAATTAATAATCCTTTTTTATTGATAGAAATCTTTTCGGATCTTTATCGAACAATAATCATTTTGTTAAAATGAATTTTCAGAAGCGACGGCTTATGGAAAATGGTTCAAGTTCACGAGGGAGCATGACAAGTTGAATTGTAAATGCCTATACTCGTAAAACCACTGTTCCGCGCTAAGACATTTGCAATTAGGTCTATGATACTCACTTATCTCCAATATTTGAACATTTCTTATAATGGAAAGTAGAAAAATCAGATTCCTAACCCTCAAACTTTGCGCAAAACATTTCCTTCAGAACAACAAATCAATTCAGTACATACATTCATGATATCAGATTACTCTATTTTTATTTCTCTTCCTGCAAATCTTTATAATTCATTAATATTATATGCGTTTATATATGTATCATGCTCTGTGCTGTTTCATAAAGTCCACTAGTTGTGTAAAATTATGCCGATTATAATAGTTATTACGGGATCTGCTTCTTGCAATGTAGCAACTTTTCTCTTGAAAAGAAAAGGAAATGATTCGGGATCAAACAGTATTTCAACAATTGATGTCATAAATCACACCCTGAAAATTCATAACTTTTATTAAAAAGTGTACTATTTCATAAAGCGTAAAAGAAACGATAGCAGAATAGAACGCAACAAAAACGGAACATTAGATGTACAGCACAAGGGTATGCATAATCGCTATGTAGCAACAGTTTAAATTTGACAGTACACGTAATTTCAAACAAAGAAACATTACACAAAGTGAACACAAGCGTAGAGCTCTTGCAAACTGCTACAATTCCATATATTCATTTGATAATCACGTACTAGGCACCACCACGCAATGCAAGCACCAAGTGAAGAACTGATCCGCCAGCAACCTACAACGAAAACTATGATTGTATAAAGAACTTTAATGAAATGTGTACTTGTTACTTAATGGAAAAAAGATCGAAGATCTAAAATTCCAAAGAAAGACTTCCGGAAACCAATATCTCCATGAAACATATTTCTTGATGTTAAATGATGTAAGAAAACTTATGTCAAAGAAAAATTTTATCAACTTTTGCTAGGAAAACTTATGTTAAAGAACTTTCAAGTTTTTTCAAAAAATCTCATGACGTTTGATCGAATCTGAATACTTTATTTTCACTTTTTATGGATTCAAACAGAAAATTGTTTTAACCTCCTTCCCGCAGCAAATGTAACATACATTGGATTCAAGAACCTGAGTTATGGAGAAACAAAGACAAGTGACAGAAAAAAGTCTTTTATAAGATTAAATATAGGAGTTTTTATATCTTCTGCAAAAAGATTAAATAGATTTTAAAAAAAAGAGAACTTATTAGATTGCGACACAATTAACAAGCTACACTTCGGTTTAAAATAAAAAGTATTCCTGGAGATTAAATATTCAGTCACATTTACAATTACGATGAATATGACACGAGTTTATGTATGCTAAAGCTTTCGAAACTTTACTTTGTAATCTTGTGCTGTTTTCTCATCATTCATTTGCTTTCCAGCAAAAATCAGTCGTTGCTGTGGTGGAGGTATGCCTTCTTTTTCTTCTACCTGCAAATGTTACCAAAAATTTTAAAAAACGAATATCTTTATCCCGTCTAACAATATGTTTTAATCAGTTTGTTCCGGAATATCCTTAGTTACGCTTCACCACTATTCAATTAAAAGAATACTGTGAAAAAGAAATGGTACTAAACAACGAAATCATGATGAAATGAAAAACGATGAAACAGTTAGAATCGACGAGTGTTAATTTAAAAAAAAAGGCTTAAAAAAGAGGAACCTTTTCCTTGATTCTTTCCACCTTGTCATTAGGCTCAATGTCGAGCTCGATTTCCTTCCCTGTCAACGTCTTCACTTTAATTAACATCCCTTCGACCCAACCACCTTACCGACTCTTGTGGAACTCCTGACAACCTTCAATACCCTTCCAATGGCGATTATAATAACGTGATAAACTCCGTTAAATATATGCCGGTCAATGTGCAAAATGTCGCCCCAGTAGCTGTTGGTTTCAAGTGATTCCATTGGAAGACAAAACATTTGACATTTTGAGGATTGGAGAGTGATAATATAATTAGAAAATGAGGATGGATGTGAAATAAGAGTTACTTTACATTTCCTCTCTACTGATTACATCGGAAGGAATTCAGTTTGATCGATGAAAATTCCTTCGTGCCACAGAACACTAACATAAAAAAGAGATCAGAAATAATTTGGCTAATGAATATTTGTTTCAAGAAATTATAGATTTTAAAAGTTCGAATTTTAAACAACTGAAAAGTACTGCAAGTTTGCAAGAGTATTGTTAGTTTCAGGTTTAATAATTTGTTTAAGATCGATGATTTATAATTTATTCCCGCTATTTAATGGATTTAACATATTAAGATTTAGTAGTGATGAATTTAAACAATTATGAATTTACCTTAATAATTAATTTTTCAATTGTATGTTTTCTCTACTACTGGATAGCTGCCATTTGCAAATATTTCTCAAGGAAAGTTATATTTGAAATTCAAGAAAGATTATGCAAAACATTTTATGAAATATTATATCTTTCAATCTGAAGACATTACTGAATATTAATCTTCTGAGTTAGCAGTAATAATTTCCTCATCTTAATCCAACTTAACATATACTATCAACGGTAACAGGGTCAAATAAATTAAAATGCTCTTTTGGTTGTTTATTTATTAATCAGAGGTCAATGAAATATGAGAGAAGAATATTCCGAATTGTCAAAAACTTACAATCACAGGTTTTGTTAATATGATGAGCCCATTTTAGAGCAGAATCTGTTTCTTTTATTGTATAGTTCAATTTATAAAAGCATTGTACTATGCTTGATATTAACTTATACCGAAATATCAGATTTAATTTATATTTATAGAGAATTGGTGAAGGAAAGAACAGATATTGAAGGATGTTTACATAGTTGGATGAAATTAGAGGGAATATTAATTATCCATTTTAATATGTCACTTTTTAAATTTTCATTTTCTTCTTAGTGTATTTATTAGAAATTTGGTGGATGATATGATGATTGAGAAAGAAAATTGAATTGATTTCAGTGATAAAAATAAAGTTAAAAATTTTGAAAAGTAAACTATACTCTTTGCTCCTAAAATAATTGTTTATTTGATTTCTATCTTTTGCTTTGTTAGAATTTTTTATGATTTCAAATGTTATCACTTCCAGGTTATATGGAAAAAGACAAATTTGATGGTCCCATTTTGCAATTCTATTGACGAAGATTAGCTAACCATATATCGCTGATCATGTATCACTGATCATGTATCCATGTATTTTTTTCACCAATGATTTCATTAAATGAATGTCCAAATAAACTTTATCTATAAAGAGTTTTTTTAATAAAGGCTTAGCCATTATTAAAATGAATAATAAGCTCAAACTATCCTCCCTAAAATAAATTTCAACAAATTTCATTGAAACTGCATTGCATCCATCCATTCAATTCTTTCTCAATAATTGGTGAAATAAATATATATGTTAGATTCTTTGTTTTTCAGTGTTAGAAAATATGCCTTGCGATTACGACAAGTTGAATTATTCGATGATCGAACTTATTTCGATGAGTTATTGATCCAATTTTAAATTGATGAAAAACTTCAATTTTTTTATCTCTAATTACTCTCAAAACAAAGATTCGAAAAGCGGTACATAAAAGGAAAATATGATAATAATAAAATGTCATTTTAGATGGAAGTAGCTGTACGAATTATCAATGATATCGTATCATCTTTTGTGTTCGTTTCATACAATTCACAATACTTTTAATTTCCTTTTCATTAAGAATTAATATTCTTCAATGAATCTCACACTTCTTGAAAAACAATCGTCAATTAAAAGTTTTTCCAAGAAAATCATTTTCCTAAATTATTTCAACCTTCTCTAACAAATTCATATTAATTTGTAAAAAATGGGCTATGATGAAAGAACTGTCTAAAAAATATAAATTCAGTCTAGAATATTGTCCTGTGATTGCAACTTTTGTGGATGAAATATGTTACACAGTAATGCTATATCATCATTCCTAATAGTTAAAGTTTAGCAAATCTAAACAGGCCTAATTATGGGAACGATCCACTGCTCATTTGTTTTTGAGAGTAAACATTCTTGTAGTATAAGTTTAAAGGGTAAAATCCGATCTTGAGCTTTAGTTCCTTTCACTTCTTCAGTCGTTGTTTGTAAATTTAACAATTCATCGTTTAACTCACATATGTTTGTGCTGTCGTTCCTAAGGATTATGCAAATTACCAAAATGGATTTCGTTTTCACCATTCAAGCAAAAACACGATTTAATTGGCTTGATCAATACAAAATAAATTTTAAAACGATTTACCAAGATGTCAATGATAAGTATCGGGACTAAAAGTAGTATTACAGCTATTTACTTGCTAAAATCATTTGGAATTCAATTTGAAATTTTAATATGAAACCTAATTGCATATCATCGGCATGAAACCTAGTTGTTTTGCGCAAATGAAACAATGATCTTTTTTTCATCAATTTTACAGCTCGAATTATTTTCTGCCATTTTAGTGCTACTTATTTTCTTTATCAGGCACTATAATATTATAATTTACACTAACTATTATCCTTGTTAGAAGGATATGTTTTCAATAAATAAATGAGCAAGCAGTATTCGAACTTTCCTAAGATAAACACTGAATCTACTTTTTCAATTATATCGTAATCACTAATTGTACGGAAATTTAACTAAAATTTTATATCCTTCAGAATGAATCATAAAGATTGTTGCAAAATCAGAATTTTGCCTTATCAAACTATTAAAAGCGAATTTTTCATAGTCATAGAATTTAAGTGATAAAGATTATTCACAAAAGAACAACTTTTCAAAAATGATATATTTAATGTTATTATGATTGGAAGAATAACTTGAAAGAATCTTACGTCATTTAGGTGAGTTTGAATTTGATTTCTCAAGAACGAACAACAGAATATTCAGTATTCCAGTCACAAATATGTCTTTTAACTCGACAAATACGTATGTCATCACGTAAGTTAGCAAAATAGTTCATATGACATATTTTACTGGGCATTTAAATAATCACAAAATATATTTTTAAAACTCACAAATATATATATTTCGTTAATTATTATCACAATTACCCGTTGAAATTATTGTCATATAGTTAACAATGATATCCCTCCTACGCATATTTGTACACATCCTTAAATACGGTCCTCAATTCAATTCATTTTAATTTTCTCAAATTTGCCAATTCATGTATCATTTTTGATCACTCTTAGTATAAATGTTCCTAAATAAAATCCTACTGATTAATACTCATCTTATTATCATAATTACTCATATTTACTCCAGCAATGTTATTACTATTACTATTATCATTGTCATTATCATTATCATTATTATTACCACTATTATTATTATTACATCGTATCAGAAGTTACTTTTATTGTTTCGTCAACTCAATCACACTTTTCTACAAGCTTACTTTTCGATGTTGTTCGACATTTAGGCAACAGCACAATAACATTGTTAGGAACATACCCAGTAGCTGAAAAAAAAGATTATTAAATTTGTTTTTATTTCAACGTATGCTTGAGATTCGAACAAATACGATGATAGGAATAAGCAGTGAAGATATTTTGATTTAATTGGTTTAAAATTTATTTAAAACCATCGCAGTGATCTGAATGAAAATCCTCAATCACAAATAAGATATAAATACCTCAATAATACCCATAATGACACAGACCGCAATTACAATGTCCAGATGACTGTTAGCTGCATCATAAATTGCTTCACTACAACCCTAAATTAAAAAAAATAAATAACAAGAAAGCAAATGACTTTTCACTTTTACTTAATTATAAATTCATTGCCATTGAATGCAAATGGAACAGATAAATCATAACACGACACTCATATTTCACTTAATTGAAATGCTAAAAATTAAAAATATACAATCATTCTTGCAAAAAAGCTAACCAACCTTTGAATGAATAAAAGGTTCATAGGTATGAAGCTCCAATTTATCGAAAGTTAAGCCACAATCAATCGGATAATCACGCATGCCCTGTTCATTGCAACATGATTGGGGTACTTTGCCAATATCCGAATAACCTATAACAGATGAATCAGAAAATATATGAGAGAAATCGAAAGAAGGAAAGAGAATAACCTATAACAGATGAATCAGAAAATATATATGAGAGCAATCGAAAGAAGGAAAAATTAATAACCTATCCCAAGTTCAGTTTTTCCAGGAACATCGCGTCCCCATGAAGAGTATAACCAGTCTCGATATCCTCTAACACCACAACATTCAAACTGAAACAATAAAATTCAAAATATGAAAAGATAGCATTGTTTATATAATTCATAAGAAGTTAATTTAAAAATTTATCAGTCTAAAAAAAAATCGCCAAAATTAATCAAAAAGTTTGAGTTTGTTATGAATTCAAATTTTGAGTTTGTTATGAATTCAAAATCTATCTGATAAATTTTCAAATCTATCTGATAAATTCCAAAATGTTTGTTTTAAAAATTTGGGACATTTAATGCCTTTTTTCGATCCAAAAAGTTTTAAAGTTATTGATAAAGTGATATCAATGGAGAGAGGAAGTGTTATGTCAGATTATTCATTGATAACTTATCCCTGTCTAAATGCCATAAAGTTCATTTGTGTCGTAAAAACAACATCAGAAACGATAAACATATTGATAAATGATGCAAACACTCTCAGTTAGAATTTCATTATTAAAATTATTGAATACATAAATTCTATTTCATTCAAAAAATTGAAATTTGAAAGACCGCTATGAGCTAATTTCTCTTCCACACAATTAAAAAAAAACCTGTATCTATTAAATTTTTAATTTTCATAAAGTTTATAAGGTAATAAAACAATAATGTTATTATGATAGTGATAGCATTACATCGAAATGAGTAAATTAAGTTCAAAGGAATTAAAAAGGCATAACTCACTTCACTTTGTATATTATCAAACAATTCTTTATAGGCTGGTTGAGTGGCGTAAAGTTCCTGCACAATATGATACATTGATTGATCAATATAGCGCTTGATTAATTCCTGTTGATTGTAGGCCAATATTGCTGCAGCCAATTGTAGGCAAAATACCAATAGAAGGATAATGAAGAACTGCAAAAATATTTTCATATCATTTCAATTCTTGTATTTTAATTTTGAAGAGTGATAAGTGATAATTCTAATGATAGTAATTTCGTTACTCAAAATAAATCGTAACGGTATTACCATCCCTAATGAAATTTCAAGAATTGTTGAAAATAGATGAAAAATAAGATGGATAAATAAACAAATTCCATTAATTCCATTTGATATTTATCTGAAATGAAAAAATTTTCTGAAGATCTGTCAAGTTTTCTATCGATCACAGCGTCGATATGAACTAACAATATCGATTGTGATAAGAATATCAGTTATCCATCAGGAAATGAGTAATGGAGAAATCAATTCAAATAAAAATTTGAGGCATACTAGTTTTTAAATCTGTCAGATAAGAAGAATGCTTCAATGTAGGAATAAATTAGCATCAAACATTCGACTCTTTCAAACTTTAACTTACAAACGGATATGAAAGATACATTCTCAAACAATACAAAAGGAATTCATCAAAAAATACTACAGAAAATAGAGAACATGTTTTTTTTAATTTTTACTTTTGAAAATTTAGTAAAAATTTAAATGTAATGATCACCACCTTAATTTTTTTCAATTTAATTTACAAGGATTTAAGAATTCAATATTTTTATAACTACGATTAATTATTTTTGCAACTCATACTATCATTTAATGAGCAATTCTATTGTAGCTAAAGAAATATCTGCAATTTTTTTCATACAGAAAATTATCATTTGATAAGCTTAATATGCAGATATCACAATAATTTGTATGAATCACAAAATGAGTAATCTTAAAGAAGATTAATTTCCGTTTAGGAAAATTCTCAAAATTCTCATTTTTCTCAATACTAAAATAAAATAAAAAAAAAAGGCCTGAATTATCATTTGGCTAATCATTTTAATATGTTTCTACTATCAATTGAAATGAATTTATATGCGAAGCGATTATTCATCCTGATAAGCTCTAATTACTGATAATAAAAGAAATAATCACAGTTGCTTAATTATTTTAAACAAAAAATAAATAAGTAAACAATGAGCTTACACCGACTAACATCCCTTGATTGAGACGCCATGCACCACAGCAGCCTAAACCACCAATTAGCGTCATTAATACACCGGTACCAATTAGCAGATAACATATCAGTGAAAAATGATCGTTCGTTTGTGATGGACTATTTGTTGTGAGAATATCATTAACCGAACGATCCAGTAAAAGCCATAAGCCCAAAACCAGTACAAATAATCCGGAAAGCTGAAATCATACTGAGATAACGATCTGAAATCTCAAATATGACTATCCTTCAGATAGCATTGCTTAGTAAGGAACTTTTATTAAAATAATTCTATCTTTTTTTTTTCCTTTCACAAATGAATATGTTGAAGGTACAATGATCGATAGTTAGTGCGAAATCGTATCCATCTGGTCAAGTAATAATGTCCAATGAATGTAATGGTCAAAATAAGATAAAAGGGCAAAGTGCTATATTAGATGGACAATTGTTTTAATTAACACAAACTTATCGTTAAATTCTACAATTGCCAGCTATTTCTAGGAAAAATTATCGATTGAATTAATTCATTTTTTTAATAATAATATTCGATCCCTCCAAATTCTTCAAAAAGAATTCTTTTCAATTTCTTCAAATAAATAATTTATTTACTTCTTTATTTGTTGAATATAAGATTATAATTTAAAAAAATTGTTAATATAATTGGAATGTTTAACCATTTAAAATGTATAATTATTAAAATTGTATTGATTATTTTGATAAATAATTGCAAAATGTTTAGCAAAAGGTCAAACTATGTGATCAATAAATAAACCATTGATTGTAATATATTAGCAGTAGAGTTAATAGTATAATATCATTATCATATCATATATCATATCATATCATATTGCCTATCAACTTAATGCCAAATTGTTTTTAAAGTTTCAAATAAAATAACCAAATGATTTATTTCAGTTGAAAGGTATATTTTTATGATTTAGTTTGAAAAAAGTATCCATCAATTTTTATCATTCTCATTTTGTAATTTTTGATAAGAATTAAATGATTTGATAAATTTAATAAAGTTGAAAGAGAAAGAGAGAAAAAGATGAAATTCGGAAGTGCACTTACCCAAAAAAATAAATTGAGAACGAAAACGATACTTCGTAAGGCCCAAAAGCATCCGCGGCCGGTCTGTGATGATGCCATCTCAAACTATCAGCAACAACAACAACAACAGCGCAAGCAACAGATGGATGAAATGTGAGGAAGAATTAGACAAGAATGCTAGTCTTAGCTTAACTCTCTCTTACCTTTCTCTCTCTCTCTCTCCCTCTTTTTCTCTTTCTCTCTTACAAAGTTCTATGAAAAATGGAGAGAGAGAGAAAAACATTATATATTGCGTTTCCATTATTTTTTGCTCAAAAAAATTCCAAGTTTTTAGCCGAAAGCATATTTGTTGACACACGAGAATGATTTCGTAAAGGTGAAGTTTACATGTAATCCTTCTTGAATGCCATTCTCTTCTTGGCTACTCATTTATTGGCCTGTTTTTCAGTATCTCAGTAATAGGCACATTTATCCATTCAAACATAAACATTGAAGCAGTTTTTTACAATTGTGACAGCTTCTCAGGCTATTAGCGAAGAGAGGTACTTTGTTCAGTTTGAACAATCAATAAAAACATTCGAATGAAATTAATCTGTTTTACAATTAAATTTAACTTAATGCTTTAATTTCAAATATTAAAATGCTATAAAAAAAAGAGTGGTAAAAAGAAAGATTAAATTAGAACAAAGGTATGAATTAAATTAATCGTTTCTGCTTGCCGACCTATTTTCAAAGATTCCTCATCATAAACGAAATCTCGGACAATGAACCTGGAAAAAATACTATATATACTGATTTGAAATTTCCTTTTCTTTTGTTAGAAATTTCAAAAAAAGTTGATATTAA